GAGAGAGAGAGAGAGAGAGAGAGAGAGAGAGAGAGAGTGTGTATATTGAGATCCACTATCTCCTTTCTCTTTACTGATAGAACCTGAAAACTTTAGTGGGGCACATTGGTGCCTGAAATAAACACTACGCTTCTCAGCCTCATTTGCAGTTAGGTGAACTTTTGACTAAGTTCTGGTCAATGGAACTATAAGTGTATCATTATAAGGGGAGAGTAAACATCTTCAGTTCTTCTGCTGGCTGAAAAGTGGATGTGAGGACTGAAGCTTAAGAAACTGTCTTAGAGGTGTGTCTGTGCCGTGGCCGCCGCCGCCGCTGCCGCCTGTCGCTAAGGCTGGCATCGCCGAGCCCCCGCACGGGGGGCTGCCGCCCGAGCGCTGATTGACAGGCCGCCTCGCCAATGCCTGGAGGGAGAAAGGAGGTAAAGAGCAAGTGTTTAGGGTAATATCTGCTAATGATAATGGGGGCGGGGCGGGGCCTGGCGCCGCTGCCGCCCGCGGGGTCGACCCTCCCGGTCTGCGCCTGGGGTGGGAAGGGGGAGCGGTGACCTGGAAGGCGCCCTGATAACCGGTGAGGAAGGTGGGGTCCAGGGTTCTGGCCAGGGCGAGACTTCGGAGCCCCAGACGTGGACTCGAGGCTTCTGCTGCTGCGGGCGGGGCTCAGCTTTGGAAACAAGCTTTGGCGCCTCCCGCGTGATCCCAAACTCTCGGGGTTGCACGGAGGGGGTGGTGGTAGTTGGGGCGGGGTCGCAGAGTTCGTGTGTGTGTTACCGCGAGTTCTTCAGCCAATCGGGAATTGCTCCCCCTGTCTTCTGAGCAGAACACGTTGAAGGTCTTGGCCCAGGTCGCTGCCCGGTGTTTGGGTGGCCCCGGGGTTCTGCTTTCACAGAGTTCACGGCCTCTGAGCTTAAGCTGATCATAAAAGCAAACAGAGCGATGGACTTTCACGTTATTTCCTTTGTTCCCCATAAGAGCCCCGAGAAAGTGCGTGATACCATTATTTCTCCCCATTCTACCGATGAGAAAACCGAGGTTTTGCGAGGTTGAAGTGAATTGCTCAAAGTCAGACACCCAGGAGTGTGTGGCTGAGTTGCACGGATGCATCCGGGTCATTTGAATTCAAATCCTTACTTCTCATAGCAAGTAGACTCTGCAATTGAGGGGGAAAAATGGCCTGACACCTCCCTTTGGATGGTGATTACTTTCAACAATGTGATTTTAAATATATGTATATATACTTGCAGGACCGAGATGGCCTGAGAGCTCTCACTTGCCCAGTCGGCTACTCACTGCCACTGGCGCCACCGGGCAACGGTCTCTGGAGAGCACACAATTAAAGTTGTTTGAATGAGAGGAGATCCCGGTGGGATATAGTTGTCTTCAAATGTAGAGGAGTGTGCTGGCGTCTCCTAGCCACTCTTTGGAGCAGAGGGTCCCGTTTCTCCCTGTCTCAAATCATCCCTCCTATAGGCCAGCATACCAGCTCCCAGGTTTGGTGTCCAGCCTTCATTTTTCATTCTTCAGGTCAGACTTCTGGGTGCTTGTTGATGTATGACCCTCATCTCTCCACTCTGAAGTTATTTTCCTATTCAGAGCTTTCCTTGTAGTCTCAGGAAGTGACCCATTTTCTTCTTCTTGGGGTTCAGGTCTTTGGCCTCTCCTTTCCCACATCCCCCTTCCTTTGGAAGCTTTCTGTCTCTTCTTTGCTGGTTCAGGTTCTGTGTTTCTTTACCCTAGATTGTCTCCCTCTCTCCTCGCCATCCTCAGATGGTGCTGTGTGCCCCCCCTTCCATTTATTAGAGATGAAATAAATAATGCCATAAATAAAAGTATTTGGGAGTCCAGGAACTGTCAGGGCTGATTAGGGCATAGAGGACATTTTCTTTCTCATTATGCAAAAGCATTTCATGGGGAAATAAAAGAGGTTTCATTGTAACTCATGCATGTCATATTTCAAGGAATTCAAGATATTAATCATATTTAACATTATTTGCAGCGTTTCTCCCTGGCTTCTGAAAACTGCTAAATGAGGACACGTGGATCACTAGGAAAAAGGGAGACAGGCATGAGAGGGACAGTTAAGAAATAATGAAATGCTGGTGAAAGACAGAGAGAGAATGAGATGCCAGAGAGATGTTTCTTAGGCACATAAAGTGAGAAATGGGGGAGCTACTTCTGAGACATGAGACAGCTGAAATTGAATGATATACTGGAGGAAATAAATGATAACAAACCACCCCACACTTTACTTTCTTTCTATAAAGCAGTTCTGAATTTTACATTGAACTATTTTCCTCCCACTTTACTTCCAGATAATTTGCCAATAAGTCCTGGCTTTTGAAAAGAAATTGGGGCATCGGCAGTGTAGAGTTTTAGAGGAGAGAAATCCTCCAGTCCTTTTACTGAGAAACTAATTTCCTGCACCTATGGGCTTTCTCTTCATATATACACAGATATATAGATATATAGATATAAGTTGTATCATCCTCACACTTTAAGAGACTGGGAACAATACTTCACCAACTAAAAGGACCTGCCATCCTTTACATCAAAAAGTGGTCATTTCTATGGGATGAATAAAATGGAAATTGATGGGGTTGAAACAAAGGTCTTAATATAACACTATTTGAAAGTTGGGTAGGCCAAAGGGAGCCCCTGCTTGTCACCCAACACTAAAGGGTGCCAAAAAAAGTTTGCTGTATTTACCCCATTTTGGAGAAGTTTCAAAGGCTGGAGGTAAGAGGTAACAATGAGAAAGGATGCTGGGATGAGAAAGCTGACTGACAATTACCTGGGGCAGTGTGAGGCACAGTTAATCTAGGTAAAGATTGACAGAAGGGCTAGGGTTTCTTGACTCAACACCCTGCTGGGGACCCAAAGCCTTTTGCACTAAAGAGGGTAAAATGGCCTGGGGATGGAGAAGAAAAGTTCCTGGGACTAGAACGTAAAAATGTAAGGGATGATAGGGTTATGGAAGTTGGAACATTTAAACAGGCTTTATGTAAAGAAGTTGTGTCTCCTTTTCCTAGATGCTTTAGGGGAATGGATATTATGTCTGGTGAACACTTCCCTACCTAGTATTGTGAAACCAAAACCTGTTGATACAGTCCTAATGGAGGTTATGGTTAGGAAAGTAAAGGCTGATGGAATTAAAATAAAAGTTTAATACTCTGTTTTTTCTTCAGATTGTATAAATCTTTTCACCATTAAAAATTAAAGTTTAGGGCCAGCCTGGTGGCGCACTGGAGAGTGCGCCGCTTGGGAGTGTGGCGGCGCTCCCGCCGAGGGTTCGGATCCCATGTGGAGACCGGTTCCCGCTCATTGGCTGAGCGTGGTGCGGGCGCAACACTGAGGGTTGCGATCCCGTCACTGGTCCCCAGTACGGGCGCGACACCGAGGGTTGCGATCCCGTTACCGGTCAGTAAAAAAGACAAAAAGGAAAAAAAAAATTAAAGTTTATAGGAGAGCTGGTAAACTTGAACACACATCATGTAAAGTGGTTGAACTCTTTTATCTGATTGTATTATGGGGCTGGACATTGTTTCTGACTGGGGAATGCTTCCCTACCTCATACTGTGAAACAGAAGGCGTGTAAATTCACCCTTCTAGCAATATTAATTGGATGTGCTAAATGGGAACCAGTAAGATTGCCTGAGCCCGCATCGTGTGGCATAGTAGCTGGATTGCTGGTAGGGACAAATTCTCCATTTTATAGCCCTTTGTGGAGCCTAGACTGGGGTCTCCAGCAGAAGTCCGTGAGTGCCTCCCAGCAATGACTACTGGGACTTTGGGCTAGAGAATTTCTAGTCTTTGCTAGGGGACATGAACTGAAGCTACCCCTATGACTGAAGAACATAAAATAATCTTGAAGCCTGAAATACTCGTGATGTCTTGGGTGATGTCAGAGAAGCACTCTAATGGGGATGGCAGTGCCCAGAAGAGTTCCTTAACAAATTGGAAATGGTTAATATAGGATCGTGCTACCTGGGGAATGCAA